ATGTAAAGTAACTACATAAAGTACAATCATGAGCTACTTGTATTTTCATTTAATGATACTTTATCCTCCACAACAATGCATAGGGAAACCACACTTTTATATTTTGATTGGGTGTTGTCACTAATTGCTTTTCAGAAAATGAGTTTACATAAATACATAGCAAATTGTGAAAGAGTGCACGACTAAAAATAAAACCACGATGTCCTGACCCTTTTCAAGAAGGCCAGGACAACCTCTTTTCAGATGTCAATGAGCTGCTACGAGATATTTCTCTTCTAATCTTCTCTGTTTAAGGCTCTTAGATCTAAAATTCTCTTAACATTTTACCAAAAGGGAAAGATCAGACAATATTTTTAAGAATAAAGGCAGATTTCTGAGGCAGAACTTGATGTTTTTTGTCGTCCCTTCATGTCATTCTTCTACTTCTTCATCGTTTGATCGGTAATATAAGTAATGCTCGTGCTACAACAACAAAAACAATTGGAAGAATTCCCTATATTTAATACTAATGAAATGAAAAATACTTTATTTATCCCAGAAGGGAAATTCAATAATTATAATAATAAAATCTAAAACGTATTCGGCTTAAAAAGGGGATGCAAACACTAGAATGTACAAAGTGGTCAAATAGTTGATACCAGTTTGATGCAAGAGAAAAGAAGAGCAAAGAAGTGTGGGACAAGATCTTGAACCAATGTGTTTTTCCCATTTTGATACTTGTTCTTGGACTCAAGTGAATAATTCAGCCACTCCTGTCACTGCTCTAATGTCATTTACAACGTCAGTCGACCACTTAACACGAAGCAGGACACCTTGGAGATATCTGGTCTTTGGGACGTGCAGTGAAACTGTTGTTCATTTGTGAAACAATTGGTAACTGCTGCAAAGGCTGTTTTGGATCTGACTGGCCTTTCCTCAGTGTTGCAGCTGTAACGTGACGCCTGCATTAACTTCATCTGTTTGGAATAGCTGAGGAATATAAAGCTGAAACAACAGGATTCTACGACGTGGATTTTCTGTAGAAAACAGCTAAAAATGTGCTACAGTCAAATTAACCTAGTGTTCCTGATGTGACTCATAACTCCATCTAGTGGACGGGAAAATGCACAGTGCGTGAAAGGCATTTGAAGTTCCATTAGAAAACATCCGCTCATTTAAATGCAACAACACTAAACAGACATAGTTACTTGTGCTGTTATTTTGAATCCTGTCAAACAACACCCATGTCCTTCCCTCTCGATCCAATGCATCCTTTTAACCAGGAAGCTTTCGAAACCAGATGGATCTCTTTGGTTTTTGTTCGCGTGGTTGTGGCGAGCCCAGCAGGATGACCAGGGGGAGTTTGATTTCTGGATCTCTTATCACAGGGGCAGCAAGAGTGACCTGTAACAAACCAACAAAAAGGAAAAACAAATGCATCTGATACAGTTGTTTTTTATTTGATCCATAAAAAAAAGTAAGTGGAAAAAGCTACTTAAGGGTTTATAAATTCTGAAAAAGATGATGATGATGCAATAAAAACAGAGGTCATTTTGCTGACAGTATCCTGTAAGATTACTTCGTCTCTCTGTTTCAACAGCGGTGTTTACTGGAAGCTCTGATGTAAATCATTTTGAGCTGATGCCATGAGGGAACAGGTTAGGCTGCAATATGACACTTTTCCCCTCATCTACCCTCATTAGTGTGCGGACAAGCCGTGAGGTATGTCCTCTGTAACCCCTCCTTCGTCTCGCTGTTCCTGTCTCTGGCCGTCGTTCGGCCACTGTGTGGTGCTGTTGTCATCAAGCAAGGGCGTTCAAAACAATCTACAGTTCATGAAAAAGATGAACAAGTAAAACTAGATTTCATGTTTCGTGAGCAGGTTGTTGTTTTTACTGTTCACTCTTGTGTGGGCCTCTAATGACCGTGAACTAATCTCATTATGCTTCATTGTAGGAACGATACCTTTAGTCTGTACTCGAGCTTCATCATGCAGCAGTTGAAGAAGGTTGGCGGGAGCTGTGGAGGGATGCTCAGGATTTTCGTTACAGTCCGACTGGTCTCAGCTGGAACAGAGTCTCCGGTCCCACAGAAGATGTCGTTTGTGTGCACTGTCCTCTTTGACTGAGCGACAAAGGTCTGCTTCTCACACAGGTAGAATTTGGGCGTCACCGTGCGCGCTGAGCCGTTGAGTACTTCCACAGAGATTCCCATTGCCTCACCTGTTTATGTTTTAAGGGGAAAAAGACTTATTTCTGCTTTAGTTAAGACAATCAGAAAAAATATTCTCAGTGGAATTACCTTGTTTTAATCCCATTTTTTCTGAGGTGACATTCATAGTAATCTTTCCGGAGCCAAAAAATGTAATCCTGGTCGCATGTTGTTGCTCCTACAGGTTTTATGAAGACACAAGACACAATGTCTAATTGACTTCTGACTGAGATAAGTTATTACAAACCTAAACAGACTCAGGTGGAAGAAAATCATTGTCATACCTTAAGTCCGATGATAATCATGTCGGATTTGGAGGCAAAGGGAAACTCAGACTTGGTCAGAAAAGGGAACTCAGTCTTGGTTTTCTGTACAAGCCAGATGGACTGAGTCAGCTGTGCTCGCAAACTATACGTGATGGTGCCCCATTTCCCCTTGTAAGTTGAAGGCATGTCTCTGTAAGGAAAGAGCCCAAAAGGAGAATTACTTTACTTCACCAGATGGTAAGGAAGTGTTAAATATGAATTCCATTTAAAGGGCGATGTAACAGCACTTACGTATTTGGAATCTCAAAGCTGAATGGATACACATTTCTCCCAGGGCTGATGATTTCTGAGCCTTATGAGAAGAAGCATTTTATGATAAATACACATTCAGCAGTTTGTTTTAAATATTCATCAGCTCAGAAGCTTCATGTGAGACAATACTAACCATCTCCTTTCTTTTTATCCTGAAGAATAATGTGTTCAAAGTAAAAGTATTTCTTCTTGTTGCTGTGGACCACCGGGGTTTGTCCTTCTTGTTCATACCAAGTTACTTTGGCTTTTCCTTTGGCTTTGACCACAAAACTCTGCACCTTGATTTCCTTGCTGGTCACCACTGTCACTTTTCCAGAGAGGATGTCCCCGGGAGAGTAGGTGCCTCGTTCATTCGCCTTGTCGTACTCCACTGACAGATGCTTCACAGTCATAGTAGTTCTGCATCAAACAGCTTCCCAAAGGTTGTGAAGTAAAAGCAAGACGATCTCATCTAAATCCTACAAATTTACCACAAGCTGGTTTGAATTGCCTCACAGTGGCGCAGCTTTTCCTTGAGGAATAAGGAAGCTGGCGAGGCAGCCATATGCACTACAGCAGTGGACTTCTCCAGAACCTGTATCGGTGTCACACATGGTCACGTGATCCAGCCCGCAGGTGTCACTTTCACAGAGGTAACTCTAGCCAGCAGCCTCACAGGCTAAATTAGGCTAAATGAATGAACAGTGTGCTATACTGTATGTGTGCTAATTCATTTGTATTCCTCAGTGAATAATATTAACAACAATAATGGCAACACGACATTACAGCACTGCATAATGCATGTACTGTATGCCATCAACATACTGTACAACATGATGTTTATGAGCTTACTTTATTCCTTCTTATTCATGAGACAGCATTCAAACACGTGAGGTAGACACTGCTGCTGACTTAGATCTTACCTTAATGTAAAACAGATGAATAATACAGAACATTCACATAGCAGGAATACAATATTCATGATGCAGGTGGCTTTAAATACTCTATGATATGTGCACATTACGGAATTGCAAAGCAGAATTAACAGCATATTTTCTCCTGGTATTGATGGATTTATGCTCCAGAAGGTGTATTTCTTCCTTTATGGTGTGGCATGGATACAGTTGCACCTGAGGAGTTTAGATCAAAGAAAAATCTGGCACAACTTGCCAGCAAAGTAAAATGAAATTACATTTGCCTTAAGGTTCTTCCAGTGCCAACACATTCACAGCCATGGACACTGTACACAGCCCTCAACATAGTATTGTTTTATTAACGCCTGTATTCAAAGCAGGTCAAGATGGAGGGATGCAGTTTGCATTTTAGAGACCTGTGACACACTTACTCATTAGTGGTACAACCCAGCAACACCAATCCCATGTAGCTAAGGTATTAACACTTTCGTTAATGTGGTGGTAGCACTATGGGTGGGGCCGTGGGTACGTTTACTACCTAGTAAGTAGACCTTGGCAAACAGGAGATACAACAGAAACAATGATCCTAAAACGTTGATGTAAATTATGATTGACGGTGCCTCCACTTAGTAGGAAAATGATAAATTCACTCCTTATAAATCCCACTAATAAAAATTTAAATTTAGCTGAGGAACTTACTCATCTCACTGTAACCTCTTTTCTTAAATACAGAGAAATAACATACAACACAAACCCAGTTAATATAAATGCAAAATGTGGATTTTTAGTAAAAAGAAAACAATACACACAATAAATAAAACAGTGGGTTTCACATTCAATTTCAATATCCCCTTATTAGAGTGCAGTTCAATTTGTAACCTTTTCCTTTTCATTACCAAATTACCTTCAGTTCAGTTCTGTTTTACCGTTGCAGGCCTGATGCTGCTTGGGTGAGGCCTTAAAACATAAGATGGCCCTTTCACTTCCAAACAAAATCTGCACGTGGGCTTCATATATGTATATGTGTGTGTGTGCGTCTGTGAAATGCAAACTGCATCCTTCCATCTTGACCTGCTTTGAATACAGGCGTTAATAAAACAATACTATGTTGAGGGCTGTGTACAGTGTCCTGGCTTTGAATGTGTTGGCACTGGAAGAACCTTAAGGCAAATGTAGTTTCATTTTACTTTGCTGGCAAGTTGCTCAAGCTCAGTATATGTGTGTGTGTGTGTGTGATGAGGAAATGTTACAGTAAACCTACAGTAAGTCCCAGAATGTTCCTACTGAGCACACTTATGGTAAATTATTCTAAGCTTATTAACTGATGAAAAAGTCAACATCAGCTTTAAGTAACTGACTTTATTTACAATAACCTTAGGATTTCTTTAACAAGCAAATCTGAAGCAACAATCAAAACATGAACAATTAAAAATTAAACTGAGACAATTATTAAATTGTTACATGGAGCTAGTATACTACAATATATTTCATGTACAGTTTTTTAGGCATGCTACATTCATACAATATTGTAAACTGAAGGAATAAATCACTGATATCACACATTAAAGTTTACAGTTATTGGACAGTGCTACTTCACATGTGGGATAAAAGCTGTATGAACCTCTTTGTGGCTCCAGAGGGAGCTGCAGGACATCTGATACTTGTCAAGTTATGTCATCTGGACCGGGAAGTGTGGAGCAACAAAGAAATAGTGGCCACAGATTTATTGGCCACAAAATTGCACTCATAAATCTCCAAACATGATGTTGATGATTGAATTGCATTGTGGATAACGCAGGCTTTGAGAAGGAAGAGGAATGTGTGGAGTGAAAAGGATGAAACCTCTGATTCTGATTGAGAAGCTGTACAAAACTGTCCACCTTGAGTCTGACAGTATCATAGACTGATTCTGTAATGATGGCATGTTGTTTTAAGGCAGGTATTTACAGAGCATTTGTATATTTGTCAGAAGGGAGGGAGGGGTACCCTGCGTACCCTGCATACGCTCCATAGGGAGGAGGGGGATCCATAGCTGTGGGTAGTGCATATTGGGGTGCGGTGTTCCACATTGGTTGGTTTGGGTTTCCAAAAGCTTCAAAACCAAATGAAGAAGCACCAGCAGGTGGTTGTTTTACAGCTGGAACATTAGGTAGGATGACTATAGGGAGTTTGATCGTTGGGTCTGTGGCATATTTGATATCCAGTTGAATCTGTGAAAAAAAAAATATTGGTGTTTAGTTTTTATTTCATCATAAATGTCAATTTTCCTACTTTTATATGGAAAGTTGTTTTTTTCATGAAGTCAGTTGGGCTTTCTTATGTTTCTTATTCCTTTGTTTTGTCACTAGAGGTCCCCTGTGGAAAGTGTTCTCTTTCTAGACTTTGAGTACCTGTTTTTAAAATCACTGAAATGAGGAAGTAGAAGCTAAGAATTTCCCAGGAGACAATTTGTTCATGTCAGTGTTAAACTTTTATGTCACAAGCAACAGAAAAATGAAACCTCATTTTCTAAGTAAGTAAAAGTGAGTAACAGTACAACAAAAGACACCTCAAATTAGGAAATATTAGCTTCAATCAAAGCAGTAATCAAGCATATGAACAAAAGAATTGCTCTGATAAGGAAATGTTGGATGTACTCCTGTGGTCTTGACCATAGTGTAGTGCAGTTTACCTTCAGCCTGTATTCCAGCTTGATGATGGCGCAGTTTAAGATGGAGGGGAGTAGTTCTGGGGGGATGGTGATCAGCTTGGTCACAGTTGTCTTGCCGGAGGACGCCGCAACAGCCTCAGCCTTCTCCTTCACCATCTCATGTGTGCGGAGTTTCCTTCGACCCTGGGCAAAGAAACTCAACTTCTCGTACAGTATGAACTTGGGCTTCACTGAACGACTGGAGTTGTTGATGATTTCAGCGATGACTTCGATACGATCGCCTGTAAAATTGGAGAAAGCTAGTCACCAATACACAAAGACTTAACATACAGAGAATAAATCCGTAGAGCAGCTGAGGATGTGTAGATCTTCTAAAATGTGCTGAAACTGTGGTAACCCAATGGCGGAGCGGTAAACCAGACTGACCAGAGCGTTGCTGCATTTCCTGTCTGATTCCACTTTGTTAACCCTAATGGCATCCTCCATGACCCCACCCACCCTGCACATGAACTGTTCACCCCGATACCCTCTGGAAGGACACTGCGCTCTGGACTTTCCTCATCATTGCTGCGCTGACCACCTTAAAGTCGTTGCTGCTATTGTACATTGTGCAATATTGTACATAGGTTTTTATTTTATTATCTTAATTTTATTTATTTTTTTACTCCTCACGCAACAAACCAAGACCTGTGAAACTGGGTTGCGTTCTATCATATCACGTGGTTAGAATGACAATAAAGTTGAGTCTAAAAAAGGTAAAAAATGCCAGTAAGCATACCTTTAAAATCAGTGAAAACCTTTTAAAATGTAATTTGAAACATTTGAAAAACAGGACTAGTGCAGCCTCACCACCTCTCCAGTTGAGCAGATGAGTGACAGAAACCTAAATCAACACATTCCACAAACAGGAATGATGTTAGCAATTACTATCTTTTTCATCTCTATCTCTACTCTGGCAAAATTATGAAAAAAAATACAGTTATACACATTTATTTACAAGATTTTTATCTTCTCCTCTTGGTTGTTGATGGGATTAAGACTTTGTTGCTGATTGGTTTGTCCCAGTTATGTAAGGATATCAGTGTGTTCCTTCCATAACTTATTGCGCTGCAGCAAAAACAAAAATTATGCATCTACACAGGGAGGTTCCATCATTATGGGTCACACCATGGTTTCACTGGCATCACTCTCAGCATCCTGCTGGTTGCCCCCATTTCCCTTCGGAATCTATTCAAGGCCTCGATGGCAGAAACTAGAGAGTGTTTCCTACAGCTGCAGGGAGAATGGCTGTAGTTCAGAGTGTCATCGTCCTATAACGATTTACAGCACATCCCAAAGACTAACCAATGTTATTAAGTGGTGCAGGAATGACATATTATCATTAGCTTCCTCAGCAACAAGAAATTCAGATCTCTTCTACTTGGTTGTGACTAGTGACCAATTCCAGAGAATGGTCTTGTTAGAACAGGAACAGCTCGATCCACTCGCTGGATTCCTTTCACTGTTGTTGTTTTTGTCTTCATACAGTCTCGGTAACAAAGAAGGGAGGAGTAAAGTGCCTCACAAACATTTCCGGGTTGAAATATGTCACTAAACATTCTTCGCTCAACAAAACTAACACAACTACATCCAGTGTCTTCTTTCCAAAATAAATAATAAAGGCCAGATGAAGGATTTTCAGTACTGCACCCTACCTAAGACACTTACCTTGTCTGTATCCCATCTGCTTCGTACGGACATCCAGTGATACGTTTCCGGAGCCGAAGGCTTTGACATTTTTGTCCTTGCAGCCATATTGAGGATCCTGAAAAGCAAATCCCATGGTATATGAATGTGGTAAGAGCTTGGTCTCTTTTGCCGACAGTATTAATTACATGATTAAATAATCGCATTTTTCAAGATGAATGAGTTCTTACCATAATTCCAGGGAATTCCATGTCTGCTTTGGACACAAATGTGAAGTGGGTTTTGGTTTTCTTTGTTATCTTCATTGACTGTTTAAGCTCTGCCCTCAGCTTATGAACAATTTTGCCAGTGACGTGTTTAAAAGTCGATGGCATTTTCCTGTGAAGAGCAACAACAGAAAACGCAAATAACCTGGAAAGGAGTAAAGTATGAATCTAAAGTAATGATTAAGTCAAGAGTAGGCACCTGTCAGGAATTGTGAAGGAAAAAGGAAATACATGTCTTCCTTTTCCAATGACTTCAGTGCCTGGAAAAAAAATACTTGTGTTAAGTCTGAAGCACATTTTTAAACAGCATACAATACCGTATTATTAAAAGGCCACTAAATTAGACAATGGCATCACATAATGCATATCACATATATGCCAAATAGTTTAATACGTTACCATCTTGTCTTGATTCTCTCAAGATATGCTGCTTGACCTCGTAATATTTCTCATCTGACCAGTAAAAGCGATGGTCATGTTGCCCGTGGTGTTCATGCCAGCTAACCCGAGCCTTTCCTTTTGCTATAAAAACAAGAGCTTGGACTGCAGTCTCTTTCGAAGCCTCCACAATGATTCTTCCATTGATGGTATCTCCATTTGTGAAGGTGTTTCTGCTGTTGATGGCGTCATATTCAATTGAGAAATTTGTGATGGTCATTTTCAGCACAGAAAGAAAGCAAAGAAAGCGGAGCGTCAAAATCTCACGTATAAACCAAGGTGAAACTCAAGCCCTGTGAGTGCTGCGCACCTGCTCGACACGGTTTATACGTGAGCTGAAATATGTAAATCATGCTGAACCTGTTTTCCTTGTATATTTGTGCTCAGTGGTGACACCCACTCAACTAGACAACCCTTTCAGCTCCGCAAAGCCACTATGACTTAACAGATAATGGAAAAACTAGAGATTAAATCAATAAACCAGCATACTTGCTTGACAGTCACGTCAGTGGGAGGAGAGTAATACCAGTCTTTCATTCAGGGTTTGGTTATCACATGCTGTATTTCTCTTCGTGTCACCTGAAATGTTCTCCAGTAGTGTCAATCAAACCTTAATCTGTTGTATATTTAGTGTATGTTTATTTAGGCCAAAGAAAACTACACCTGAATTAAGGTATGTGACAGTTAAAAGTTTCCGGAGGCAAAGAGCAGTGAAGAGCAGGTAGGTGCAGTTTGCTGAGTGATCTCCCCTTGAAAAAACAACCATAACGTCCTGCATTTTTACTTTTGCTTTATGTCAACAGCGTTTAAATAATATTAGGTTTAAATGTCTTACTATAAAGTATTGTATTTTAGTGTCTGTAAAACGTGTTTTCATATCCCATTAAAGAAGGCCTGACTGTTCATTGTTTATGTTTCTAGCTTTTTAAAATGAATTTACTCTTAATGATACACTTACAAAAAGTAACATTTACAAAAAGAAAAGTGGACAACTAAATAAGGCGATAAAATGAGAGAATAATTTGAGATTTGTGAGGAAAGGGAGCCCTTGTCTTGTGAGCTCAGGGCTCACAGACCAGAATGCTAACAGTAGACATATGGATGATTTCTAAGGTTGACAGTAGAACCAGTGAACAGCAAAGTTGAAAGAGGAGCAATGAAAGCAATCCATATCGGTTGGTGGGTCAGTAGGTAAGTAGACGCTGCCATCAGAAAAAAGTAATCCACTGGATCTTTGGTTTCTCACATGCTGGGGATGCATAAAGACTCTTTTGTTCACTCTTGAAGCCAACAGCAGAACACTGTGTGCATTGCTTGTGGCTGAGACGTTTAGAGTTTAGAGTGTGTGTGTGTGTGTGTGTGTGTGTGTGTGTGTGTTTTCAAATACAGAACTCTGAGCTACTCTGGTGCAGGTTTTTTTCGATAATTTGAAATTTTAATAAAAAGGGTGGAAATTAAATTTTGTCTCAGCAAAGTGGCCGTGTTACAGATAGCCACACCCCCCACTGTTTCTACACCCATGAAACCTGGAAAATACAAAGTTGGGAAATAATACTTACATGACAACAACAGCTTCACCAACTCCCAAGACAGCAAAGATTGTCTTCTGGTAGGTCAGTGGAGGTGAACTGATTAAACTGTAAACAGTATTAATTCAGAAACAACTTCTGTGAATGCTGTTAAAAACACTGTAAACTGCCCGTGGCGTCTGTTAGAATCACACAATGCTGCAGAATTTTTCCAATATGTTGCTTTGAATTTTTTGAGCTCAAAAAATGGCAATGCATTTATTCAAACTGTAGGGGGCAGCATAAGCTCATGTGAATGAGATCTCAAATCGTACAAAATAAAACTACCTGCACGTCCACATTACACTGTACCTCTAATTCATCCTCTGGTCTGATGATTTCATTGGGGCAAATTTGATTTTGGTGCAGCAAAAGTGGGTTAATGTGGTTCATTTCCAAAACTTTCAATGTATGATAAGTTAATCATTTATTTTAATTGCTTTTCCTTTGTTTTTGTTGTGACTTTTTTTTTTTTTTTTTTTTTTTTAATCATTGCCATTAAATAAAAGACAAGACCCGAGCAGAGGCTTTTTGCTACATGTATGTACAATAATCACAGTAATGAACTGCTGGTAACCAACGATTTGAAAATGTGACAGACTTTTAGTAATTATAATTACCTACTGTTGTAGGTAAGATGTTTTTAAGAATACATTTAGTGGAACAACAATGAATCCAACAACAACAATTACACAGCCATCCGACTGAGGTAAAATTTTTGATGCTTTCAGCCAAATCTACTCTTATGTCATCAAGTATAAAACAAAAGAAAACAAACTGGAGGATTTTGGAAAAATGTTCTTTAAAAAATGTCTTTTCAGTCCCGTCACTAAAATTTATTACCAAAATCCNGTTATTGAAAACCATACAACAGGGGATAGATACATGACAATTTCACTGAATATCCCACAGAGTACAGTTAAATCCATCATTAAGAAATTGAAAGCATATGTCATGTGGCTAAATCTACCAAGAGCAAGCCATCCTCAAAAACTGAAGGACCATGTAAGATATAGACCAATGAGGGAGGCCTCTAAGACACCTAGGACTTTGTTTGAAGGAGTTACCAGCTAGTATTCACCACCATCCTTCACGGTAGGGATGGTCTGCTTGTGATGATGTGCAATGTTTGGCATCCACCAAACACAGCATCTAGCCTGATGGCAAGAAGTTCAATCCTGGCATCATCAGACCAAAGACCTTTCTTCCAGTTGACTTCAGTGTCTTCCACATGTCTTCTGGCAAACTCCACTTGGGATTTAATGTGAGTGTTATTCAGCAATGACTTTCTCTTTGCTCTCTCCCATCAACTGGTGAAGACAAGGCATCAATTGTTATATGCAGTCCAGCTACTGAAGCTTGTAACTCCTTTAGAGGAGTCATGGGTGTCTTGGTGGCCTCCCTTACAAGTCTCTTTCTTGCATGGAAAGCAATGAAATGGTTCTTTCAAACTGTCAGTGGGGTGAGCACTTTATATAGACACTGTAATCTTTGTATAGGGTTGAAGTGTTGGTATATTTCTTCTTTTCCATATTGAGTAGCTAAGCAATGGCAGGTTTTGTATGCTGCAGACATTGCAAAGCTCTTTGAGATCAATTTGTATTTTGGGGACGCTAGGAAAATCTAGCTTAACTTGAAATGTTTATTTATTGATAACAATTTCCACTATTGTCAATAAGCACTTTTCAGGACACACAATGCATAATGCACTCACACACATCTCAGTCGCTGTCCTGGTTGTGAAGCTGCTTACCCTGAGTATGTACTCCACTTTGATGATCCTGCAGTTGAGGATGGAGAGCTCCAAATCATGGGGAATGGTGATGACCCTTGTGACGTTTTGATGAGAAGATGCAGGGATGGGGTCGCCCACCGCTTTCAAGACTTCTTTAGTCTCCAGTTTTCTATGTCCTCTTGCAAAGAAGCTGTGCTTTGTGTACAAATAGTACTTGGGTTTGATCGCACGAGATGAATTGTTCTGAATGAAGGCCACAACCTTCAATTCTTCTCCTGCAAAACAAAGCCGAAGTGTCAAAACAAAGCCTCAGTATTAGAACAATATCAATATCACTGTGAGGGCTCACACCTTGGACGAAACCAAGTTTTTCAATATTCACATCGATGGCTACAGTTCCTGAGCTGCAAAGAATGCCTTTCTTTTCCTTAGACTCATGCTGTGGTGTCTGAAAGAAAACGAGATTATGTCAACCGCATCAGTTTCATTATGTAGCCAAAGAGTTTCGCTGCTAAAACAATATATTTGAATTTCAAAACCTGTTTTTTTAAAGGCTCAGTATGCTGGATGCAAGTACTGATGTGGATTTAAAGCAGGTTGCTCAGTACATTTCCAGGCAGGTGTTAGGACCCGATTTCAGAACCCACTCTGAAGTTTTTCTCTTTTGGAATGACAGGAATGGAGACATGTGCCAGTACCTACCATTAGCCCAGGGACACTGTTCCAGTCTACGTTTGACACAAAGTTGATCTTCTTTGAATCTTTCTTGTTCATCCTCATAAATCTGCTCAACGTGGCTTCCAGCAAGAACACAATTTTACCGTGAGACCCTTTGAAGGAGGAGGGCATATCCCTGATGCACAATCACAGGAGGACAAACAAAAGTGAGACATTTCTATGCACAGGAATAAATAAAGCAGCTTTTCAACTTTTCTAAATGATGTCATAGAATCCCTTCATGACAACAAAAAGCCTGGGAGCCCTTTGAAATTACCTGGTTTCCTGCATTAATTCATCATAAAATATAATCTTATAGTTATCTGAGTCACAAATGAAGGCAAACACAACGTTCATAAACTAATACAATGCAAACAATCTTTACATTTTGTGTGGTTTTTGAACACATCCATTATACATTCCCAGTGCTGGTTGGGAAAACAAGCACACCCTTGGATTCCACCGTCTCTGTATTTCATCATTCTGTTGGAGATTTACTTCACTATTTACAGTTATTGTCCTGCTGCATCACTCCATTGAGCTTCAGCTGGTGGACAGTTAAGTGTGTTCCCACAGCAAAATGCAAAACTCTGACATGATCCTGAAAAATGTCGTGAAGTACATGAATAAACTAAATAACAGCAGCACCAATACATGAAGCTCCCTCCAATCTAGCTCACTGCTGTGATGATGTTGGTATGCCATATGTATGATTCCAGGATCGCCAACTCCTGACTCAAATTAGCTTTTGTTCATGCAGAAGTTTTGTTTTACTTTTTCCAGCCAACTCTGTGAATGAAAGAGTGTTCAATCATTTGTGTTTGATTTGTTAAGGAGTGAAAATCTGACCATATTTTAAGACAAACCAATGCATAAATGCAGATAATTCCAAAAGGCTACCTCCTTTTCTGTGACTGTAGTCGCAAAATACACAATATATTCACAGGCTTATGCTGTCTGTCTGCTCTAATTATGGATCAATTTTAAAAAAACAACATTTCTTACTGGACAGGGATCGGAATAGTGAACGGGTAGACATGGGTTCCTGGGGCAACAACATTGTTGTCTAAAAAAAGAAGAAAACTAATTGTGAATGTGTTGGTAAAGAGAAAATACAAAGGAAAGAAAAAACATTGAGACATACACGACTGGTCAAAAGTTTTAGAACACCCCAATTTTTCAATTTTTTTGTTGAAATGTATGCAGTTTAATGTCTCATTGTACTCTAAAATAAAAGCATAGAACAAATAAACAACTGAAGTAAAAAAAAAAAAAAAAGAAATCATGGAATCAATTCAAAACCAAAACATATTCAAAACTTTTCACCCCCAAAAGTTTATATTATTCTGAACCCTCCCCCTCATCCCCCCCACCTCAACTAACTATGCACACTATTTATTTATTTATTTATTTATTTTAAATGTGCAGTTTTATTGTTTGAAAATAATCTCATTTTCCATTTAAACCTACGATCTTCTTGCAAGCAGAAAAGGATGAAAAGCAGACTTACCCTGATGATTATCGCCTCCAATGAAGTAATGTTTAAAGCTGAAGTATTTGTCTTTGGAGTAGAACACTACATCAAGGTCACCGTATGACTCGCTCATTCGAACTTCTGCTTTTCCTTTGAATTTAACGGACAGAGACTTTATCCGACAGACTCTGGCCACTTCCAGCGTGACTTGGCCACAAATGGAGTCTCCACAGCTAAAGGTGTTCCTGTCATTGATGGGGTTATAGGTGACTTCCAGCTTTTTCACAGTGGACAACATGATGCGCAGCGTAGAGAGAAAAACATCGAGGAAATGCGAATGAAATTTATAAAACAGAGAAGTCCCCATCACCTTTGACTTCCGCGACTAAACTGCCTCCTCCTATCACCGCCTTCTTCAGTTATTCCTATCAAATCATGCTCAGATGCCTCGAACTCGCGTCTCTCTGTCTTTTTGTCTCGATAACGTTTCCAAACCCCTGTTATAACAGATAAATACCTCGACTTTAGTGAACCGGTCAGACGTTTACAGTAAAAACGGATAAAGCTGTGATGAAGCTCCAGCTGGGTAACTCATGACTTAACTGTAGCTGATGATGTTTAACTGTATGACAAGTGACCCGTCTGAAGAAAACTAGAGTGTCAGTCCCCCTTAAATCATATTTGATCTTGTCTCCATGTTAGGGATAATTCATAATTGTAAGTAAGTCTGAAGTTGTCGCTGTGTTCTGTGCGTAAATACGCACAACTTTCCTGCTTTGGAGATGCACATACGGGTCCTGCTGCTGTGTGATGCTGCAAGTATTTGACAAATTCAGAGTAAAAACTTCTACTCCATGCCACAAATTAAACTTCACCTCCTGTGAATGTTTTCAGGTCTGTGTGTGCGCCAGCTTCAAATAAGATCACAAGTATCATGTGCTCTCCCGGATGTTTATGGTGAGGACGCACAGCCAGCTGAACATTGCTCTACACGCGGACATCAATGCTGCTTTCACTTGCACTTGGACACCTGAGTTGCAATCACTGAACCTTGGACATCAGCGTTTTAGTGGACAATGACGTTAATGCTGTGTTGTGTGTATGTTTTAGAGACATTTAGTGGATCCTGCTGCTGTTTGATGCTACAGGGAGCTATTTAATGAACTCAGAGGAAAGACTCCATTAAACAGCTGAAGGTAACAAAAAAAACAAAAACTCAACTTAAGCTCCAGTTATGCTGTGAGATCTGTGTGCGTCTCCATCAACTAAAGAGGCAAATGTGTCTTTTGCCCTGTCTGAGATGTTTATGAGTGAGCCACACAACTGACTGGCTGCATTCACCGACACTTTGACGCTGGGGTTCCAATGAGTGAACTTAACCCAGGGGTGGGCAATCCTGGTCCTTGAGGGCCACAATCCTGCATGTTTTAGATGTTTTCCCTCTTCCAACACACCTGATTCAAATGATCAGGATCGTTATCAGGCTTCTGCAAAACTTAATGATGATGAGCTGATGGTGGTGTGGGCCATTTGATTCTGCTGACACAATGGCACCGTTACTCTGGGTAATCCACAACTGTGAACAGTATTCATTTATAGATTATTTTTGGGGATGCTGGTAAAAATAGTGAAAACTGCCCATAGTTGCTGTTAGGTCACCTGTAATATTTCTGGAGTTCCACAATGCTGCAGAATTTTTCCAAAATGTTATTTTCAATATTTTGTGCTCCCTGTCAACTTATGCAAATTAAAGGGCATGTAGTCATTTCAACCAAGCATTAGCTGTTTAATAGCATGTGGTTCATATCCAAAATATTTCATGTCTTCCTTTGTTTTTATATTGTTTTTTTGTAATCATTACTACAAATAAAAGACAAAACAGAGTATCAACTTTGTTACTGTTAAATATAATTCCAAAAAAAAAAACATATATATATATATATACAACATTTGCTAATAATGACCACCTACTGTTTTTAACACCCTTTTAAAAAATACATTCAGCTTACAACAATACATCAGTGAAACCTGCAATGTTTATCAAATAAGAAAGTGATGTTGAACATTTTCTCTGGTTATTCACAGTCAACTTTTGCTGCTGTTAAAATATTGATGCTATCAGCGTAAGTCATTTAGTATAAAACAAAAGGATATAAAGTGTCGTTTCAGTCACTTCACTAAAATGTATTACCAAAATCCTTCATAGGAGGGTACATTCCATATGCTCCATAGGGAGGAGGAGGATCTGAGGGTTGTGGTTCTGTTGGTGGTTGTGGTGCTACAGTGCCCCAGACTGGAGGATTTGGGTTTCCAAATGGTTCAAATCCAAAGCCAGCCGCAGCAGGTGGCGCTGCAGCAGTGGAGCGCTGATAGGCTGGTAGGATGATGATGGGAAATTTGAGCTCTGGGTCTGAAGCATATTTGACATCGAGGTAGACCTGGGGAAAAAAACCATTTCATTACATTGGTGAATTGTATGTTATCTCTAGAAAAACTGGCAGTTGCATATCTGGAGTGTTTTTCAGTTGTTGTTGTACCAAGACGTTAGTGAATCAACACATGAAATAGCTGAGATCTAGAACATTGGAGATAGTTGGTGGTAAGTGTTTTTGGAGCTTTGGTTTTGAGTTTGACTAGGACTTGTTGTCAGGTAGCTTACCGACTTTGTTGGAGCAGAGCACTTCCCGGTTTCACTTTCTGTGTTTCAATAGGTGGGCCGTTGCATTTATTGTTACCTGGCTGAAAATCTGAAAGGGGCGGGACTTTCACTAAAAGCCGCTGAAAGAGAGACTGAAGCTAGGGTTCAGCCATAGGACTTCCTGGTATTTAAACAGGTGCTATGCTGTAGCATCAGGGGAAGCGTCAACCTTTGTGTCAGCCCTCATTGTGTGAAGACCGTATTGGGTAAAGACCTGCAAGTCTGCCTGTGTGAGTCCAATGAGCAAGGATGCCAACTGGTTAGTCTTTTCCTACTTTTCCTATTATCTGCACTTGTAGCCTGCCTCACCCAACATGTGCTACAAGTGTAGTACCTGTTATCCAAAACTTTTGGAAAAAAACGGACTTGCTACAGAAAGTACAACCCTGCAAACTTCCGCTCTCTCACAAAAGCCTCCATTACCGGTTTGTCTTTCAACCTTGGCCTATGGAATTGTCAGTCTGCTGTAAACAAAACAGAACTAATCCAAGCATTGGTTAATTCTTCAGATACTCAGATACGAGCCCTGACTGAAACCTGGATCTGTCCAGAAAACACTGCCATACCCACTCGACTCTCTGCTGCCTCCATCTTCTCCCACACACCCCGAAGTGTTGGATGGTGGTGGTACAGGAGTCCTCACTTCCAAATAATGGAAGTTCACTAAGCTCTCTCTGCCAAGCAACAACTCTTCATTTGAATACCATGCAATCAGTGTCACTGCACCTGTTGAGCTATATGTTGTTGTCAAATATTGTCCTCCAGGGTGTCCGCTGGGTAACTTTGTAGTTGAACTGGACATGCTACTCTCGGCCATTCAGGACTATAACACACCACTTGTTTCCATGTGAGATATGAATATCCACACAAACAAAGCCCAAGGAAATGACTTTCTGTCACTTAAGGCATCTTTCGACCTGAAGCAGGTCTCTACCCCTCCCACACACAAAGCAGATATCAAGCTTGACTTGATTTTCTGTCGAAACTTGGCTTCCATGCCTCCTCATAACAGATTCTCCTCTCTCTTAATCCACACTTGATCCTGCAGTAACACACATCATCAACTCCTCACTTGCTACGGGTGTGTTCCCTGCTGCATTTAAGCAAGCTCGAGTCACTCAAATACTCAAAAAACCTACACTCGACCTAGCCCAGGTTGAAAACTAAAGATCAGTTTCACTCCTGCTCTTCCTGTCTAAAATACTTGAGCGAATTGTCTTCAACCAAGTTTCTACTTTCCTCTGTGACAACAACCCGTATGACCCGTATCTGTCTGGTTTTAAACAGGGTCACTCTACTGAGACTGCACTCCTACACGCGTGGACAAAATTGTTGGTACCCCTCGGTTAATGAAAGAAAAACCCACAATGGTCATAGAAATAACCTGAATCCGACAAAGTAATAATAAATAAAAATTCCAACAGTTTTGTCCACATGTGTATCTCTAACACAATCACTGCATTCTGCTTCAGCTCTATTGCTGTTAGATCTGTCAGTTGTTAACCACCACACCACACTCATTGAGCTTGGCATCTCAGGATCTGCCTCCCGCTGGTTTATGTCCTACCTCACAGGAAGACACTTCAGAGTATCTTGGAGGGGAGAAGTGTCCGAACTCAACAACCTCACTTGGTGCAATAATTCACACCCAATCGTCTCTCATACCATTGCTATGCTGATGATACCCAGCTCTTCCTGTCATTCCCCCATGACGACCACACGGTCTCTGCCCGGATCTCATCATGCCTTGCAGACATCTCAGCATGGATGAAAACCCGCCACCTTCAACTCAACCTCTCTAAGACTGAGCTCCTTGTCATCCCGGCCAATCCCTCTCTACAACAAGAAATTAACATCGTTCTCAATTCAACCCAACTCAAACCCACAAAATCTGCCAGAAACTTGGGTGTCATGATTGATGACCAACTAATCTTCAAAGCTCATGTGGCCTCTGTTGCTCAGTCGTGCTGACTGGCCCTGTACAACACAAAAACTACCTTGACTTAAAATGTTTATTCATTGATGACAATTTCTGCTATTTTCAATAAGCACTTTTCAGGACGTAGGCTCCAGCCCCCCGGCGACCCTCGTGAGGATTAAGCGGTGTATAGATAATGGATGGATGGATGGACTTTTCAGGACACACAATGCATAATGCACTCACACACATCTCAGTCACTGTCCTGGTTGTGAAGCTGCTTACCCTGAGTCTGTACTCCACTTTGAGGATGCTGCAGTTGAGGATGGAGGGCTCCAAATCATGGGGAATGGTGATGACCCTTGTGACGTTTTGATTAGAAGATGGAGGGATGGGGTCGCCCACCTCTTTAAAGAGGTTTTTAGTATCCAGTCTTCTCTTCCCTCTTGCAAAGAAGCTGTGCTTTCTGTACACACAGTACTTGGGTTTGATCTCACGAGATGAATTGTTCTGAATGAAGGCCACAACCTTTAATCCTTCTCCTGCAAAACAAAGCCGAAGTGTCAAAACAAGTCTCAGTATTAGAACAATATCAATATCACTGTGAGGGCTCACACCTTGGACGAAACCAGTTTTTTCAATGTTCACATCCATGGCTACAGTTCCTGAGCTGAAAAGAATGCTTTTCTTTTCCTTAGACTCATGCTGTGGTGTCTGAAAGAAAACGAGATTAATGAATACAACACAAAATAATTGCTCACTTCATAAAATTATGTCAACCGTATCAGTTTCAGTATGTAGCCAAAGAATTTCGCTGCTAAAACAATATATTTGAATTTCAAAACCTGTTTTTTTAAAGGCTCAGTATGCTGGATGCAAATACTGATGTGGATTTAAAGCAGGTTGCTCAGTACATTTCCAGGCAGGTGTTAGGACCCGATTTCAGAACCCACACTGAGGTTTGTACCTACCATTAGCCCAGGGACACTGTTCCAGTCTACGTTTGACACAAAGTTGATCTTAGTTGAATCTCTCTTGTTAATCCTCATTGATCTGCTCAACGTGGCTTCCAGCAAGAACACAACTTTACCGACAGACCCTTTGAAGGAGGAGGGCATATCCCTGATGCACAATCACAGGAGGACAAACAAAAGTGAGACATTTCTATGCACAGGAATAAATAAAGCAG